ATGAGTCATATTTGCAAACAAGGCCTGCTCAGCCAATCTTCCCCTGCAGCTGTCGGAAGGAGGAGGCGGTGGAGAAAGGCTGCATGGCCCCGTGCTCTGGGCGGATGGGCCCTTTTATAATTGTTGCCTACGCCAGTCTCCAGGGGAGAGCTATGGCCAATAAATGGCTGGCCTGCCGTCAAAAGGAAACGATTTGGCCTGCTAGGAGGACGTATTTACATCTCTGAGTGCCGGCTGGACGGCAGCAGGGCGGCCAACTCAAAACAGACGTCCAGGCGATTCTTTTTTGGATCCCACCCTGGAGTGAATCATTACTATTCTTGGATAAGAATGCAGCTTACCTCGAAACCTCCTCCCTCTGTATGAGAGAGAGGGGGAAGCTGGGGATGCTGGGGCCCTTGCCAAGGCCAGCACCAGGCCCAGCACATGAGGTGGCTGGTCCCCAGGGTGGTGTCATAAAAAAGGAACCAGGTCCAGGGTTGATTTCTATCTGAGTGATTTCAGGTGAACTCCTGAACCCATCTGAGCCTCAGTTTCCCCATCAACCAAATGGGTATAATTAATTTACTCAACTAAGGTCAACTGAGCCCCTATTGCGTGCCAAGCACTGTTCAGTGTTAAGACATAGACCCTGCCATCTTGGGACTGACATTCTAGTAGGACAGACAGACATTGAATAGATAGCACATATAAAATTGTAATATGAAAGCAATAAGTGATGAGAAATAGGGCCATGGCAGGGGAAGGAGAGTGACCAGGGATACATTTGACAGAGGGTGGCCAGGAATGGCTGCCCTGGGGAATTGGCCTTTGAACAGAGACCTGAAGGAAAGGGGCGAGGCATCTTTGGAGCAAGTGGCCGGGGGAAGCAGCGAGGTCCAAGTCCTCGAGGCAGGACTGCATTCAACCTGTTCAGGGAATGTCGGAAGGAGGAGGCAGTGGAGAAAGGCTGCACGACCCCTTGCTCTGGGCGGATGGGCCCTTTTATAGTTGGCTTGCTTGGGGCAGCTGACCAGCTAGGGTGGCTGAAGGAGGAGGAAGTGACCGTGCAGTCTGGGGGATGAGGGTGGGGCTTGGGTGCCCACACCCCCAGCCTGCCCAGGACACTTCCCCTTTACACCAGCTGATCCATGTGATTACTAATTGGCACCCACTCACTCTTAAAAGTGTCTGAGTCTGAATGGCAAGGTCAGGAGGGCCTTGCTGGCCAGGGAGTGGGGGCCTGGGGAGGATGTGGAGCAGAGGGGGGAGGTGGCCTGACTTAGGTATTGACAGATTCCCTCTGACTCTTCGGGGAGTGGAGGCGGTGGGTGGGAGGGTGGCAGGAGTGGAGGGAGGAGGACCAATGAGGAGGCTGCTGGAAATCATCCTGGGGGCATCAGGCCTGGACAGGGGTGGAGACAGTGTGGTGGGAGAGCTGTGTGAACACTATGGGGAGCCTGTGCTGCCTCCTCTTGGGGTGCTTAGGAGGCATAGGTGAGTGGCAGTGCACCATGGCGTTCCCTCAGCAAGGCACTCTACAGTTTACTGAGCACACCCTCACCTCTGGGTAGGGATTGGCTGGGGTCCTGATTGGCTGCTTTGTGGCTGGGAAGACCCTGGAATTCAGACATGGAAGGGACTGTGGAGGGCCCTGCCTGACATTCAGCCTCCACGGCTGCCCAAGATGTCTTTGGAAAGAATGTTGGTTGCTCTGGCCCTGAGCCTGTGTCAGGCTGTGTTGTGACAAAGCCTGATTGATGAGATACATTGGTTTCAGTCCTCGTACGTTCACATGGCCCATTGTAAAGCTTTTCAAGAATTTAAAATAACTTTTGTAAAGGTGATATGTGCACATTAAAAACATTGAAATAGTGAAAAAAATACATTGCAACGTGCATCTCCCTCCCCCGCACAGGCAGCAACTGCCACCAGCTTTTTGTGTGTCCTGCCAAAAATAGTGTGTGCGTATTTAAGCACAAGTGCGACTCTGTCTCCCTCCCTCTTTACACAGCAGGGAGCGTGTCACATGCACGGTTCTTCACCTTGCTTCTCTTCCTGTATTTTATCTCCAGGACATAGCTCCTTAGTAGGACACTGAGAACTTTCCCATTGTTTCACAAGCTGCATTGTATTCCAGCGTGTGCCTGCTCCTCTTGATGGACATTTGAGTCATTTCCAATCTTTCACTCTACAGACAGCACTGCTTGGGGTAGACACTATGTCTCTGGCCACCCATGCAGGTGTAATTATAGGACATCATCTTAGGAATGGAATTGCCTGGTCAAAGCCAGTGTCCCATGAGAGCCTACAAAGGGACTACCACGAGCAATGGAGAAGCAGGCAGAGGACTCATTTTCTTTGTTGTGGACTCCATAGCTGGCCAGCTGTCCCAAGCAAGCCAGGGTGGCAGCCTCCCATCAGTACTGGGCACCACTGATTTGGCCAGCATGGTGGTGGGAGAAGAGCAGACACTGTTGGATGAGCTGGCTGCTGGCTGGGTATGGTCAGAATCAGGGCTCTGGGGCATTAAGCTGCTCAGCCAGCTTGCCCTGAAGAACCAAAGGAAAGGCTGTCTTGTAACTGGGCATCTCATCTGCATATAAACCCCTTGTCCTTGCGATGTTCAGCGTCTGGTGGGCAAGATGGACATTTCCCCAGTGTGAGACAGGTCAGCAGAAGACAGACAGGCTCTACAGTGAGGATAGGCACCTGCTGGGCCTGGGAGAGGGTGGAAAGGTGCTCTGCCTCCTCTCCTGGTGCTGCCCATTCACAAGGAAGTCTTGGGCCTCTGCCCAGCCTGCCGTGGCTTTCATTGAAGGTGCTGAGCCCTGCAGGCTGAATGAGGAAAGGCTTTTTGTTTTAAAGCCATGGCAGCCGCCAGATCCACATGCTTGGCAGGGCCCCAGCTGGGATGCGGTTGGCTGCCAGCCTGCCCTATAGAGATGCCCCCGGCCCCAAGGTGCCAGGTGATCCCAGCATGTAGCGGAGGACTGAAGAGATTGTTTTTAAAATTTAGGCTCTGTTTTCTTTTAAAATCAGACCAACAGTGTAATGGAGTCAGACAGGCATGGGCTTGGGGTGGCAGCTCTGTGTCGCCTGCTGGCTCTGTGACCATGGGCAAGTGGACCCTCCAAGCCTCAGTTTTCCCCATCTGTGAAATAGGGTGAATGGCCTCTACTCCTTGGATCAGATTAGATAAACTGAAAAGGTCTTGGAAAGCAGACAGTTGCTGGTGGCTTTTATTTGCTTGTCAGCATTAGCATCACTGGTGCCAGGGGGAGCCCACGGATTTCACTGTGACCAGCAAGAAAGGGGCAAAGAAAAGCTGTCCCATCTTATGGCTGTAAGTGGGAGTATTTTGCAGATTGGTGTACAGTGACACGTGAACTTGCCATCCTCCCAGTTGAGTCCTTTCATTCACTCATTCACTCAGCAGGTCTTTATTGAGCCCCTCCAATGGGCCAGATGCTGTTCTAGGTGCTGGGAACACAGCAGTAAACTAAAGAAAGGCCTTGCTTGAATGCCAGTTGAGAAGGGAATCCTGGATTTATTCAAAGTGCTTATGTTGAAGCTTCTTTAGGAAAAAAAAAAAAAAAAAAAAAAGAAAGAGAGACTGGGTAACAAAAAAAAAAAAAAAACTCAAAAAATTAGGAAAAAAAAAAAAAAAAAACATGATAAAGGGTCTAGCCCAGTGTGTGTTCTAAGAACCAGAGCCCTGACTGTGGGAGTAATCCCACAGATTGGCTGAGAGCTTGCGATGTTCTGGAATGCTTTCCCAACAGCATCCTGGTCAGGAGCTGTTATTCCCATTTTACAAAAGGGGAAACTGAGGCACAGAGCCATACTTCACTCCCTGCCTTTCCTGCATGGGAGTGTGACCTTCAGACAGGGAGCTGACTCCCATTAGAAGGAAACTTAGCTTTCTCCAGGGATTCGCAAACACCCTGGAGCATGGGGACCTTGTTTCTTGTGTAGCAGTCTGTGGTGGACGGGTAACCTGGGAGGCCCCTTGGGCAGGGCCGCTGTCCCTGTGGTTAGCATGGCTGTCCTCGATCACTGTTGCAGCAGTCAGAGCTCTGGGACTATGGGTGCCACTTCTGGGCATCAAGTTTCATGGCCTGGGCTGTCAGTACCCTGCACCGCCCTGGCCTGCTTTCAGATGATATCGTCCACAAGAATGTCTGTGAGTAGGTGCTTGTGTGCCTGTTTAGCAGGACAGCAGGAATCAGCACAGGTCAGTGGGAAGCTTAGGTCTGGACTCCGAAGACCCATGCTCTGCTGTGTCATCCTGGGCAGGGTTGGTGGCTGTCCCGTGCCAATTATTTTTAAAACTGTTAACCTGCTTCACTCTCAGACCCTCAACACCCTGGCAGGGCAGGGGAGGAAACCAGCACTGGTCAGGTGCCAGCTGTGTGCCTGAAGCTTCCCTGGGCATCTGAGCACCACAGTCACATCTGCATATGTCATCAAGTGCTAGCTGCATCCCAGACCCTGAAGTTAGGACCTTGTGTGGCTTACATTTTAGTGAGAGATCCAGGTCACACAGGGATGAATAAAATAAAAGGGACAATGTTGGGAGAAGGCAGTTACCCCCATTTTGCAGATGAGGAGCGAGAGGTCTGGGAAAGTTGGCTAACTTGCCCACAGTCAGTGGCCGAACGAACAGTAGAGGTGAGAATTGAATCTAGTGTTTGGCCCACGGTTGGCACTGAAGAAGGTTCTGCTGAAGTCCCAGTGGAAAATCAGTGCCCCACAGATGAGGAGACTCAGGCTCAGGGGTTCCTTAACTTAAACCTGGGTTTGCCTGAGTCCGGAGTCTGAGTCCATCCTTTTCTTGCCTTTCCAACAACTCTGTCTCAAGACAAAGGGGATTCCTGGGTTTGGAAAGGTGAGGTGACTTGTGTAAATGCAGCACCTCTGGTGGGATTTGACCCCCAGCCTGTTAAGGTCCTGGCCTTGGCTCTCCCTGCCCCAGGGCAAGGCCCCTCACTGACTCCTGGCTCTGTGTTTGCTTCAAGGCGCAACGTGCTCAGCTTGTCCCCTGGAATCGACCACCCAGGCTCTCTGAAATGGGACCTCGCGCTCTGCCTTCTTCTTGTCTGGCTAGTCTGTTTCTTCTGCATCTGGAAGGGCGTCAGATCCACTGGGAAGGTAAGTTGGACTTCTATCCCTCTCCTGCCTCCTGGAGAGCTGCTTCATGCTGGCCCTCTCCCCTTCTTCCTGCCCAGAATAAGCCACGCCCCAGGAGGGAGTTGGCCAGTGGCGGTGTGCTAGTAAGCCCGTCCTCTGGGAAAAAGTAAAAGCTAGGTTTGTAGCTTTGGTATGGGTGTCAGTGCTCCCACTGTGTCTGCTTGATTCAAGCTGTTGACGGTTTAATGACCAGCTCACAGAATTCCTGAACACTGAAGAGTCAGACTCTCCGGAGCCTGCGTGAGCTAGTCCCACCCACCAGCTTTCTCACCTCAAGCTACTGACACTCAGTACAGATGGTAGCAGGTAACTAACGCTGGCCTTCTAATAAATAGGTTAGCTGGTAACAGGAGCTTAGCCAGCAACCGTGGTAAGAGCCATTAGCTCTTACCCTCGCTTTGCAGAGGGGGCTGCAACCAGCCCCATCAGCATTGCAGGGAGCCTCGTGGGCTTGCCCCAGACCTGCAAACCCAAAGGCTGCGTTGTAATGTTATCCCCAGATAATCCAAAGGCACTTTATGGATTGAGATGCACTGGCTTAGATTTTAGCTCTAAATCAGATTAACTGAGTTGTCTTATAACTAACATTTCAACCGGCACCTCCAGTGTTAGTTGTTCACGAAAGTGTTAGCTGATAATTAAATCATCCACTCATGGCCAGGATGTTAGCTATTAACCAAAGTATTATCCATAACTGGAGTGTTTGCTACTGATTAATATGTCACACAATGACTGAGATGTTAGTGATTAACAAATGTAAAATGTTAGCTTGTAATTTTAAGGTTTTAGGTATAACATATATTAGCAATATCTTGTGATTTTAAGGTTTTAGGTATGCTGATAATATTAGTAATAGCTTGTAATTTTAATGTTGTAGGTATACTGACATATTAGTAATAGCTTGTAATTTTAAGGTTGTAGGTGTAGCTGATGTATTAGTAATCGCTTATAATTTTAAGGCTTTAGCTATATCAGCAGTAGTGAAAATGTTAGCCAATGTCTGAAACATTACTTGTTACTAACTAGAGCCAAACTGCTCCCTGATAACCTAGACACTGGCTGTTGTCATGGCTGTGCTGATGCCAAAGGCTGATGATCAGAGGTGTGAGCCTGAACCCAGGGCCCTAAGCTATAAAGAACAAAGGTGTTTGCTCATCTGCCTTTAGGCGGTGCTCTGTCGGTGCCTTCCCCAATGACTCACATCCCAGAAGAGGGAACATCTCTTTAATATCAAAAACCCCCCAAAGTCAAAGGAGTGTGTTAAGGTAGCATTCCAGGTATAGCTGTGGGCAGTGACCTTAGCTGCACCAGCCACAGAGTGGAACGGGGGGTTGAAGAATGTGCTCTTCCTGGATGAAGAGCCCCTAAAGAGGCGAAATCGTGGATTTGTACAGATCCAAGCAATTACTGCAGTAACCCACCCAGCAAGGCCTGGGACTCCAGGGTTGCAACACATAGAATGAGGGTGATCCTGTGCAACCCCCACCAGTACACACAGTGCCCTCTGCCTGTTTCTTGGGGCAGAGCCACCTGCCATCCTGAAGCCCGGGCTAGAAAGGAAGCAGCCCAGACCTTGGACAACTGTCCCTGCACACCAGGGAGCACGGTCCTGCCTGGAACAGGCAGGAGCAAGGAACGTGGGTATTTCCTGCACCTCCTTGGAAAGCACCCTCACTGTGCTACCTGGTTCTGTGTCTTACAAGCACACGATTTTATTCCTTTCTTTAAACAATGGGAAAACTCAGGCTTATGGACATCAAGTGATTTGTCCAAGGTCACTTCCTCTGCTCTGAGCCTGTTTCATCATCTATAAAACAGGTAGTAGTGAGGGCAAAAATGAGGTGTATTAAACACCCACACAATGCTTGGCACAGACAGTTCTGTAAATGCTAATTCCCTTCTTTTTATTTTTTTATTTTTTTTTATTTTTGAGGCAGGGTCTGGCTTTGTTGCCCAGGCTAGAATGCAGTGGCATGATCTCAACTCACTGCAGCCTCCACTTTCTGGGCTCAAACCATCCTCCCACCTCAGACTCCTGAGTAGCTGGGACCCCAGGCGCACGCCACCCTGCCCTGCTTAGCTCTGCCTCAGTTTCCCCACATGGAAGTGAGGAAGTGTCTCTGGAGCACTGGTCCTGAGCAGTGCTGCAGACATCATCACTTACTTATGCACTGGTATTTTTTGAGCCTCTGCTGTGTGCCAGGTGCTTTGTAGAAACAGGGCCAGGGGGCATGCAGTGGTTTACAAAACAGAAAATTCCTGTGCTCCAGGAGCTGCTGGCCTGGCAGGAAGAGTCAGGTTGCAACAAAACAAATGTGAAAAATGTATAGGAGTCAAATGGTGATGACAGCTGTGGGAAAAAGTCAAGCAGAGGAGAATGGGGAGTGTTGGGAGCAATTTTAAATAGGGTGGCCAGGCAAGGCTTGCCAAGGTGACTCTAGACAAAGATGTGAAGGAAGTGAAGGGCTGAGCCAGGTGAGTATGTGGAGGGGAAAATCTCCAGGGACAGGGAACAGCCTATGCAAAGGAGGTGTGCTTGACCCAGACCCTTGGGGAGCACCCAGTCTGATGGAGGAGGCTGATGTCCACCAGGGACAGTGAGCAACTTTTGAGACACAACACAGAACGCAGAATAGTGTCAAAGCCAGAAGAGAGAGTGCCAGGCTGCAGCTGTGGCTGAGCAAAGACGTGACCTTCCCGGGGTCCTCCCATCTCACCCCTAGCAACAGCCTCCTTCATGGGGGGGCTCCAGGCCTTCCAGGGGTGGGTGTGATTCCCAGAACAATAGCAGAGCCTGGGCCAGGCCAGAGAAGCCAAGACAAACACAGTCAGGCTTTGTGGACTTCCTCAAGCCCCATGGCTGAGAGGCTGCCTGCTCACTGGCCATGGTTCCAGCCCTGGCCACAGACCAGGTTTGTGGCCCCGGGTAGCAGATGGGGCTCATCCTGGCCAAACCCCTGCTCCCGTGCCTGGTCCAGCAAGGAGGAGTTGAAGGGTAATGAAGGGAGGGCCCCAGCCTGAGAGGCTCAGGATCTGAGTTCAAGTCACTTTGCTTCCCTACATTGCAGTTTCCTTTTTTGTAATTTTCACTATTCTGTGGGTCCAAAACTAGGCTGCCGTTAATCCATTCAACAGATAGTGATGATGGTGGCAAGAGCGCAGTAGCCCGTGAGTGCTGGGTAGCATTCTCAGTGCCGCTAGGTAGCTCACTCAATCCTCCTCATGTTTTGGAGTATGTGCTGTTATTTGTCCCATTTTACAGATGGGGAAACTGAGGTCCGGGGGGCTCATTACCTTGCCCAGCATCACACAGCTTGTCAGTGGCTGAGCTGGGATTTGGACCCAAGCAGCCCCACTCCTGACCTGGGTGCCCCACTCTCTTCCACCTCCTGAGGATGCAGTAAGTAGAGAATGTGGTAGGCATGTGTCCCTGCTGTCACAGAGAGGTCTGGGAAGGGGGCAGAGATCCAGACACTCATACAGGAAGTGCAAGGCCTGCAGACACAAAGAGGAGGAGGCCCCGGAGTGAGCACAGACATTCACTGAGGCTGGGCTCTTCGTTGTCGGCCTTTGGAGCAGCTCTTCTTGTCTGGCTGGAAACAAAGTAGGGGGTGGTCAGAGCCAGACCTTTTTAGCTCTGGGTCCCCCAAACTGCATGACTTAGGACAAGTCCCTTTCACTTTCTCAGCCTCACCTTCCCCGTATGTGAAATGAGTTAGTGATGGCCCCCCACCAACCACGGAGGCGCTGACGACCCTCCAGGCCTGCCTAGGGTCTCTGGGATCAATGGCAAACCCTGCTGCCCAGACCCTTACCTCCCAAAGGATGCCCAGCTCCCCCTGCTGTTCAGGTACCCTCTTTTCCACTGCCCCCAGGGGAGGGAGAAAAGTTGCCCTCGAGAGCTTCCCGGACAGTTGGGCCACAGAGCTTTTGGATCTAGGGCTCAGAGGAGCCACAGAGGTTCACCAGCAAGAGTGGAAAAATACCATGTCCCATGGCAAGGCCTGCTGGGCCAGCACCAGAGGCCCCTGACAGCGGCTGGCACCGGCCTCTCCCTTGCGGATCCCGGGGGAGCCATGGAAAAGTTGAAAGCATGGCTCTCAGGGGCTTGTCCTCGGAGCAGCAGATTCTACAAAGCAAGGGTGGCTTCCAAACACACGGCTGTAAACCGAAAACCATCTGAGACAGGGGCTCAGTCAGCTTACAGGTTTATTTTGCCAAGGTTGAGGACGTGCCCAGGAAAAAGAGACATGAGCCACAGTAGGATCTGTGATCTGTGGCCTGCACTTTTTCCAAAGGGGGGTTTTGAGAACCTCAATATATAAAGGGGAGGCCCAGCCCAGTGGCCCACACCTGTAATCCCAGCACTTGGGAGGCCGAGGAGGGCAGATTGCTTAAGTCCAGGAGTTCAAGACCAATGTGGTCAACATGGCAAAACCCTTTCTCTACTACAAACAAAAATTAGCTGGGCATGGTAGCGCGTACCTGTAGTCCCAGCTACTCGGGAGGCTGGGGTAGTGGGATTCCTTAGACCTGGGAGGTTGAGACTGCTGTGAGCTATGATCGCACCATTGTACTCTAGCATGGGTGACAGAGACCATGTCTTAAAAAAAACCTGTAATGGGGAAACAGCAGGAGGGGACAGAGGAACAGGTAATTATACATGGTGTCTCTGCATTTCCATAGGGTAGGAGCACACACAGTGGAGGGAGACACGTACCTGGATGTGTGGGCAGTTGGATAATTTCTTCTCTTTGTGCCCTACCTGTGAAGATGAGCTGGGGGTTTACATTGTTAGATACATGGCATGTATCTCCCAGCTCTCTGCTGGAGAATAGAAGGCAGGCCAGTTTATTTGTTTGTTTGTTTGCATGACTCAGTTCCCGCGCTTAACTGGCCTTGCATGTGAGTTTGGGGTCCTGAGAGTTTCTTTTCCCTTCATACCACTGAGGTGGCGTGACCATGATGAGGGGAAGAATGATGACACACATCCCAAAGGTGTGGGGACCTGACACCACCTGCCCTAGATACATCCCGCCTCCGCCACCACTAACTCTGTGATGGGGTGGTCTCCTTATCTAGAAAATGCAGGTGATGCTGGCTCCTGGCTCTTCTAAACTGTCTGAGGAGTAAATGAGTTAAAACTCATAAAGCTGTTAGCTGAGTGCCCCACACACAATCCGCACTCCATCAGTGCTTGTTAAATAAACTAACCACGGAAAAACAGTGAAAACAAGGAAAGCTACCTCCACGCCCCTGTCCCCACACAAAGCCCTCTGGCCACAGCCCGGCTGCTTGGCCCAGTGGAGGCCCAGCTGGCTTTGAAGTGGCCGCCCTCTGGGGACCCCTGTGGGGCTGCTGTCAGCAGCTATTGTTCGCCAGCCTGGGTGTGGCCCACAGGGGGCCGCAGAGGTGGGAACTGGTCGGGGCGCCTGGCCGCCTGGCCGCCGGTCCTCAGGAAGGGAGAGGCAGGTTGGTTTTCTTTTTTCACTTCTTTCCCCGCTTCTGTGGCTTCCTGATGTGCCCCCGCCCTCCACGTCTGCCTTCCCATCCTTGGGAAATCATGTGGGCTCCTGGCCTCAAGGAGAAGAGATGCCGGTGGCTGGAGAAACTGAGGGCTGGAGGAACAAAGGATGCCCAGGGACAGAGGCAGGAGTAGGGTTCACCCTCTGTGTTGGAGGGCCAGCCTGACAGTGCTAGCTAGGAGGCTTGTTGAATGCTCATGGCGGGCCAGGGGCTAGTGAGCAAGGTAAGCGCTCCTTATCCTCAGTGGACAGATGGGGAAGCTGAGGCCCAGGTCACCAGCTAGGAATGGTGGAGGCAGCGTGCGAACCCCGGCAGAGACGGCTCCCCAGCTGACCCACAGCCTCTCCACCCCTGGACCTGGAGTGGCAGAGTGGGAGGCAACCTCAGAGCTCCTGCAGTCCCAGCCCCTGACTTCCAGGTGGGGAAACAGAGTCCCCAGGGGACAGCAGCTTCATGGAGGTCTTGTGGCAAGCCAGCGTCTGAGCTTGGCTTCAGACCTGAGGGTCTCCCCACCAGCTGCCCTCTGGTCTTGGGGAGAATCAGTAAACTGCCAGTGGTGGAGTGCTCTTTGCCGCTCTTCTCTGTGTGGGCTGTGGGGCAGGTCCCCACTCTGCTGCTTAAGGCCTTGTGACCCTGGGCAAGTGATGGACTCTCTCTGGGCCTCAGTTTTCTTGCTTGCAAAATGGAGGTAGTAATAAAACTTACTTCCAAGGATGAGGTCAGGAGCCAGTGAGAATAGACGTCACAGCATTTGAAATAGTGCTAGGCACACAGTAAGCGCTCAATAAACGCTGCCTAGGGGTTGTTGGGCTGAGGGCAGCTGAGCTAAGCAGACCCTGAAAGCTTCCTTTTTGTCCTTTTCTGAAACTCTTTTTCATTGTTTCTACTCGAAGGGATCATGGCCATGAGAATTTGTTCTGTTGAGGGTCCTGGTGCCAGCTGGGTGAGGGTTTGGGCTCTGTCACTGTCTGTCAGTGTCTGTTATACACTTAGGCCCCAGCAGTGCCCTGGCACTGCACCCCCAACACCATGGGCACATTTGTCCTGTTCTCTGCATCTCAATTTCCTCTCTTATAAAATGGGTGCATTCCTCCCAGATCCCCTGATCTCCAGACGTGGTCAGGGGCTCTGCCAGCCGGTCTGTGTTTCACGGTGGCCACCATGAACTTGCATGTCCAAGTGAAATACTTCATGCCTTTCTGCACAGGTTAGCCCTCCCCAGGCTCTGGGTTCAAATCCTGGACTTCACTGATGCCCTAGACAAGTCCTTAAAGCCCACTGAGCCTCAGTTTCTCCACTGTAAACCACCGTCCTGGGGGCCGTGGTGAGGATGAAGTGGGCTTGTGCCTGGGATGTCCCTATTCAGCCAGTGCCCTGCCTAGTACACTAGGATCTAACTGTCCACTCAGCCAGCCAGGCACCTTCATGCTCCTCGCAAGCATCCACCCTATCTGGAAACTCCTTGTGTTGGATAATATGGGAAAGTCCATCCGTGAGAACTGAAGCCACAAACAGCGCTTACAGGACAGGAGGAGAGAAGGTCCTTGGGAGGAGATGGCCATATCATTTCTAGTCCCCACCTCACACGTGATCTTGGCCTGTCTGGAACATGCAGTGTGCCCCAGGGAAGGCCATGGGTCTCCCAGAGGCCCAGCGAAGTGGGGAGCCTTTTCCATTCCCAGTTAAGGGCCCTTGAGAGACCTCATTTTCCTCCCTGAAGGCCCCATCCTTCCAGCAAAATCAGTGTCAACAACAGGCCCCCTTTGCAGAGCACATACCGAGTGGCGGTGTGACAAGCATCATCCCATTGAATCCTCGCCTCAACCCTTGATGAGGGGCCTCTATTACTCTTATCTGAATTCTGTTCATGAGGGAGCAGGCCCAGAGAGGTTAAGCAATGTGCCTAAGATCACACAGCAAATGAGGGGACAGAGCTGGGATTTGAACCCATGCTTATCTGACCCCTAACCATAGGAATTATACCAAGGTTGTAGTTAGTTGTTAGCTAATATGATCTGCATGCCATGGGCACATGCCACGGTTGGCAACCACTGGGCTGGGCCTTCCACACACGCACTTAATAGCTTACTCTCTGATCTTGCATTTTCCATCTCTACCCAGTGGCGTGTCAGTTTCATGGAGACAGGGATTTGTTTTCTGTCTTATCTACCACTATGTTTTGTGCTGAGATGGTGCCTGGGACAAATTATCTATAGGATGTTTTTCATTTAATCTCAGTAAATCTGTGAGGCGTGCTGGGCGCAGTGGCTCACGCCAGTAATCCCAACACTTTGGGAGGCCGAGGTAGGTAGATCACTTGAGGCCAGGAGCTCAAGACTAGCCTGGCCACCGTGGTGAAACCTCATCTCTACTAAAAATACAAAAGTTAGCAGGGCATGGTGGCGCATACCTGTAATCCCAGCTACTTGGACGGCTGAGGCAGGAGGTAGAAGCTGCAGTGAGCCAAGATTGCACCGTTGCACTCCGGGTGACAGAGCAAGATTCTGTTTAAAAAGAAAGAAAGAAATCTGCCAGGTGCAGTGGCTCACGCCTGTAATCCCAGCACTTTGGGAGGCCGAGGCAGGTGGATCACCTGAGGTCATGAGTTCGAGACCAGCTTGGCCAACCTGGGGAAACCCCGTCTCTGTTACAGATACAAAAGTTAGTTGGGTGTGGTGACAGGTGCCTGTAATTCCAGCCACTCGGGAGGCTGAGGCAGGAGAATCACTTGAATCCAGGATGTGGACGTTGCCTTGAGCCGAGATCATACCATTGCACTCCAGCTTGGGCAACAGAGCGAGACTCTGTCTCAAGAATAAAATAAAATAAAACAAAAAAGAAATCTGTGAAATGGGTACCTGTATACACCCAGATTACAGATAAGGCAACTGAGGCCCAGAGTGGTTAAGCAATGTACTGAAGACCACACAGCAACTGAGACAGCAAACTTGGCTCCAGAACCCTTGCTCCTGATCAGTGCTCTCCCTTGCCCTCTGAGAGGATGCTCAGACAGCAGCAGCAGGTGATGCCCATGGCCCCCTGAATCCCTCTCACCCTTGCAGGTCGTCTACTTCACAGCCACTTTCCCATTCGCCATGCTCCTGGTGCTGCTGGTCCGAGGGCTGACACTGCCTGGCGCGGGCGCAGGCATCAAGTTCTATCTGTATCCTGACATCACCCGCCTCGAGGACCCACAGGTACTATGGGACTGGGACACACCATCCTCCCTCCCACCCAGGGCTGAGCCGGCGCAAAACAGGGCAGGGTGCAGAGGCCACTGGCAGCACCTCTTCCATGGTTCTTCAGTGCACAGGTCCAGCTGGGCCATCACCCCCTGGCACTTTCCTGTGGTGGGTGTGTCTGTCCACAGTGCTGACAAACCTCTCTAGGTGTGTGCGTCTCTTTTCATGTCAAGGACCCCTGAAGCTGGAGAATCTGCTGATTCTCCAGAATCAGAGAGAGACTGCTTTAGGCCCTGTACCAGGTAAGGGGGAGAAGTCTTCCAATGAGCAAGTCTCCCTGCCAGACCCAGCTTCTGCTCACTGCAGCTGCAAGGGCTGCTGCATCCTGTGGGTGGGAAAGTTGGGGCCTGGAGAGCTGCAGGCCTTCTTGGCTGAGAGTGAAATTCAGAGTTCATGGCCTTGGAGGGTCAAGGGGCAGATACTGAAAGCCCACTTTCCAGTATTCAACCTTGTGACCTCAGGGAGGTGGAGAAATCCTTGGGAGATTTTCTGAGTTTGTTTGAGGACCCATATCTCCAGGGCCTTTCAGTTGCTTCCCAAGGGCCTCTGCTCCCTCCCCACCACCCTTCCCCCTTGTCAGGACACAGGTGGGAAAGGGGTTGGCCAGCCTCGGAGTGCAGCTGGGAGGATGGCTGCCTGGCCCTCTGGAGCTCTTTGGTGAAGACTCTGGAGAGCAGCTCTGCCTGCGCAGTCCCTCGGAACCTCCTTTCACATTCTAACTCAGGGTTGCGCGAGCAGTAACATCAATGGTGGTGATAGCAGCCTTGACTTACAGGCTTGCCATGTAACTGGCACTGGGCTGAGTCTCCACTCTTTGAACCTGGAAAATAGCTCTAGGGGTAGGGCTGTGAAGCCCATTTTCTAGATGTGAAAACTGAGCCTGCAGGAGTGATATTTACTTGCCCACTGTCATTCCAGGGTTGGAATCCAGATCCATCTGCCTGTGAAGCCTCTTAACCCTGATACTAGGTCACTGGGAGGTGGGGTGTTTGATTTCTGGGGCTCTTTGCAGTTCAATATTGCCTTGAAAGGCACCTTGGATGCGAGCATAAATGTTCCATTTGCACATGCAAGGTCCCGGCCCCAGGCCCTCGCTGCTTCCTCCATCCAGGAAGCCAGCTCTAACAGCCCCCCTCTCTCCTTGCCACCTCCCTCCCCTCATAGGTGTGGATTGATGCTGGGACCCAGATATTCTTCTCCTACGCCATCTGCCTGGGGGCCATGACCTCACTGGGGAGCTACAACAAGTACAAGTACAACTCGTACAGGCAAGTGCTGCGCCGGCGGGCCTGGTGGACTTTAGAAATGATGATGATGTTTAAAGAAAAAGAGAAGTAGGGAGCGTGGCTTCCTTGTGTTGTGAATTAACTTGCTCCCTGACATATGTGTAACTTAGGGACTGTATGCTGCTGGGATGCCTGAACAGTGGTACCAGTTTTGTGTCTGGCTTCGCAATTTTTTCCATCCTGGGCTTCATGGCACAAGAGCAAGGGGTGGACATTGCTGATGTGGCTGAGTCAGGTACGGTGGTATCGGTGGCAGTGGTGGTGGGCACTGCCACCTAGTGTGTAAGCCAAGTACTGCAGGCATGAAGCCAGACCCCAGGGGGCTTTGGGGGGGGACGAGCCTGGTTTCTAAAATGGACCCCCCCCACCAAGACGTCCCCCAAATATCAAAGAGTACAAAAGCCAAATTTTAAACATTTTTATTGCGATTTGGCCCAAGGGGTGGCAAAAGCATGGGGGGTGGTTAAGTTGGGGAATTTTTAGCTACCTTAGTGTGGTCTTCCCCGCCCCCCACTCCTTCCCCAGCAAACTCCTGGTTTCCACAACAGAAACCACTTTCCTAACTCAGGCCCAAGTCAGCCACCAATCGGCATTCCATCACCACCTTCTCAGCCTTGGTTTCTGTATTTTGCACTTTGCTCCCAGCGCGCTCCCTCTAAGCAGACGCATTCATCCATTCCACCGATTTCTTGTGAATGAGTCCCCACTCTGTGTCAGGCACCACCGTAGGCACTGGGCGCAGCGTGTGAGGGGAGGGGGGAGGGGAGGGGACGACCTACTGGGATGGTGGCAGATCCAATTGGGGGTGGGTTATAAGCACAGTGTGGGCCCTGTTGACCAGGCGCTCTTCCTTGGGCTACCTGGAGTCACAGTGGTGGAGGATGACAGTATCTTAGAATCACGGACTCTGCACAGACGGGGACCTTAGGCATCTGGGATCCCAGCGTTCCGGCAAGGTGCTTCTGGAACCTGAGAATTATAGGGTTTTCAGTTGTTAGGATCCGCAGCCTCTCAGGTGCCTTGATTCTGGGACTTGGCCATGACTGTTTGAGGTCCTGGGCCTGCAGCTTTAATTGCAGTGGCTTGGGTTATGGAATTCTCTCAGGCTCCCAGCGTCCTCCAAGTCCACCTTTCTGGCCTCTCCACCCTTTCCTGGCCCTGCACAGTTCACTTGGAGGGTGGTCATCTGTTGGTTTTGTTACTTTACATGCCAGGCCCCCAGCCCCACACCATCCTTGTCCTCATTTCTTACAACCTCTTTGGGGCCACCTGGTGGCAGGCAAGGGTCCTGGGCTGAGGCTCCTTCCAAGCTGATGGGCGAGCATGAGGGTTGTTAACTTCAGGGACCATCTTGTGTCTGACTAGGACTAGATACAGCTGGAGGCCCCGCCCTTCCACTGCCCTTGACCTCCTGTGCAATCTGTATTTGGAACATAGGCAATGTCCTGGTCCCTGAGTCCTAGAGGCCCAGCATTGGAGGGTCAGAAAGCACCTCAGCACCATGCATCCAGATGTTCCCTTTTCAGATGAGGAGACCAGCAGCCTCCGAGCAAGGGCTTTGCTTGGGCTAGGAGGGGTCGCAGCAGGGCTTTCTGAACACCCTGTCCGCTGTTTCTCCACCTGTCACACGCTGGACAGGCCTTCTGACACAAGGGTCCCTCTCCTGCCACCCGCCCCACCCTGGACACATGCAGCAACCTCTGGCCTTCCAGTGTGAGAATTTGTCTGGGCCCCTGTGGCCTCACAGAGCCCCCGGCCCCTCCTGTCTTCTTTGCTTGGCAGAGCCCTGCACTGCCCAGCCCCATCTTTCACCCCGACAGCACTGCAGGACCACCCTGGCAAATCCACGCAGCACCCCCACACTCCTCTCCACTGTCCCTGCTTCCAATGTGGACCCTCAGATGTTTCCTCCACCCGGCCCAAAGAACCCCCAAAAGCAGGCCAGAGACTGAAAACAGAATGTAACTCCAGAAGTACCCACACCCCTTTGGTAGTTTGGCAGTTAGAGTGGTGAGGGGGAGCCAGGGATGATTTCTACCTCCTCTGCAGATGGCTTGCTTTCAGCTGAGGGCTTGCAAAGCAATTGCAATTGAACGGGAATCTCCAGGAGTATGGAGTGAAATTGGCAGTGGGAGATACAGATAGATACATATAACAGATCTTCCTCCGTGGACAACTAGGTACTTTCATAGACACATATATTGTCAATCTAAGTTGTTTCTTCCTCCCATCCACTTCAAATACCTTGTCATTTATTCCCCACGGTGATGTCTGAACAGCCGGCACATCAAGGGTGATTATTTCTCTAATAAGCTTTTAACAAGCATCATATTGAGCGAAGTGCATTTGAACAAGATAATTATTTAGCCTAACGGAGTGCAAACAAGACGTAGCATGGCACGCTGTCTGCTAGCGGAGAGGCATCCAGAGGTTCTTGGAGTGGCTGGGTTATGTCTCCTGGACTTCTCTCTCTTGAGTTCACCATGCACGTCTAAAGAAAGACACTCAGACCCTCTCCTGGAGGCTGGCTTGAGAAAGGCAAAACTGAAATACAGAAACGAGCGAATTGAGAATCTTCACAACGTCCCCAGCGGAGGGGCGGGGGGGCCCATTTTGCATCTGTCTCGCAGCTGGCTGGACTTGATTTCTCTTTCAGTGTGGACCAGTCAGGGCCAGCGCTGATGCGCTGGGGTGGGGGCAGCGGGGCCCCAGCCTGGATGGAAACGCCGCGGCTTTTGACTCCAACTTCAACTTTGATTCCAAAGCCGTCTCACTGGGTCCTGGGGGCCACATTTTTCTGAACCTGGCCCTGGTTCCTTTGGGCATGTTCTGAGCAGTTTTGGACTCAGTAAACCCCCACTCCTGGGGGGTTTTCCAGCATCTCAGTGACCAACCACCCTGTCGCTGCCCAAGGATGTATTTTGGTCGGGTTTTCTCTGGATTGTAAAAGGACGCACCCTTCCTTGCCACACTGGGGGGTGTTAACACCGTATAATGTGGTTTCTGGTTCCAGTTTATTGTAAACCTGGGTTTTGCTTTTTGTTTTTCATTCTTGAGCAATTCATCTGGTTTCTAATCCCTGCTGAACAGCTTCTGCTCTAGCGCGTTTTGTTTCCTGCTTCTTGACTTTTTTTTTGTTTTTAAGTTGCAGATTTTACTTTATCTTTTGCTGCCCTCGCTTCTCAGACCCACAGGTCTCAGTTAACAGCTAAATTCTTTGCACCAGCATCTGCTTTCAGGCAGGCTGGGGACAGGAGGAGACATTTCTTTCTGTCTCCAGAACGTCTCCCATCAGAGGCACCCCTCAGCTGGCAGAGCTCCCATCTCCCCACTGATGCCTCAGGTTCTGTCCAGATCCCCTCTTTTGAGACCCAGACCCCGTTTCTAGGGACCTGACACCCACCTCTGAAAATCTGAACACAGGAAGGCTCTTTGTGAGTCATTTACGGCTACCTGCCCCTCACCTTTCAGGTGGGGACACTGAGGCCCTGAGAGAGTATGGGGTGATTCAAAAAGGAAACGGGGAGGAAGATTTGGATGCAGGCCCCAGGGCTTGCAGGCCTGGAACCCTGCCCCTGCACCCACATTCCCTCAGCTCCGGGCCCTGGTTGGCCTAACCTTGACCTTGTGGGTTCTGACCTTGCCAGGGAGGGCCCTGCAGATGCACCCCTGAAGAGGCATGCCCCCTATTGGGCATATGGGCATAGTTTTGTATTGGTTTTTCTTTCCACTCCTACGGTGTTTTAGCCATTAACTCAAAAATAGAAACCTTCCCTTTGTAAAGGAGACTGTGGGTGATCAGGTCATCACCACACTCCCCCACCTCCTTCCAGCAAAAGCTGTCGACGCGATGGCTTTGCTTTGGGGTGGGGGGATCCTCCCTTTCCTGTGTCCCTGCAGACTGAGCCCTGGGCTCCATCTGCATCCTACCCCAAATAACCACGCCCTGATGGATGCTGGTTTGTGAGGAGGCCGTGTGTGCTGCGTAGGAGACAGATGCTAAAACCGGGCCCCGCCTGAGCCCCAGCGTGTCCCACCCAAAAGCAAGACAGGCCTGGTCTCTTTCCCCAGGCCAGAGTTCAGACCTGGCTCCCCGCTGCATTTGATTCTGAGTGTCTTTGTGTGAGCCTGGGGTTCCCAGTGGCTTGGTGGCTGATGTCTCCTCCCCTGTGCCCCTCCCCATTTTCTCTCCTTTCTAGGTCCTGGCCTGGCCTTCATTGCCTACCCAAAAGCTGTGACAATGATGCCGCTGCCCACGTTTTGGTCCATTCTTTTTTTTATTATGCTTCTCTTGCTTGGACTGGATAGCCAGGTGCGTATAAGTCCTGGGATGGCCCTCGGGCAACTGCCCCTGTGGGGAACCTGACTCTGGGACGGCCTCCTTATTCCATCTGGGAGGTGGTCAAACCCCTTCCCCACTCCAATCAGACTTCCAGTGTTTCAGCTTCGAGGGTTCCTCCAGGGCCCCAGGAGTAGAAAAGGCGCAGGGTCCCCAGCAAGGGGACAGGAACAACCAGGGTGTGTGGTTAGTCTAGCCACAAATGAGGAATTGGAGGTCGTGACTCAGTAAGTCATGATGCGCTCCAGTGGAGTGTCCGGCGGGGCGCAGGAGGACGTGGCAGATGGGCAAGTCAGACAAGGGACGGACATTTCTGTGTGAGCTGATCATTGTCTGGGCTATGGTAATCAGTTGCAAGTGCTCAGGAGAAGCCTACGGCAGACTCGGGATTCTGTGTTCTCCGGAGCGTGCGAGGGGCTAAGTTCTGGCTCCCTCCCGAGCTTCATAAACGGCACAGGCAGGGAGCCTTGCGCAAACCCGCCCTGACCTCTGGCTGTCCCGGCTTCTGCCCTCCCAAGGCAGGACTCTTATCTCCACTGAGCTCTTTCCTGCACTTCTGAACCCCACATCCCACCCCTTCAGGGCTCGGGCCTCCACTAGAAGGTGACTCATGACCAGGGAATGCCAGTGAGAGCCACTGAGTGCCGCATCTGACTCTAGAGTAGCCTGTGCCTGGTGCAGTCAGCGGCGCTCGGAGGACAATTCACTTGAGCTCCTGGGCCCCTTTCCCTGGGAATAGGTGTGTTTTTCACAGGGTCTTGTTGAAACAACAGTTCAGAGCACAGACATGACTCCAGGAGTGGGGAATTAATGGCATGTGGGACAGGCGGGTCGGGCGCTCAGGCCAGCAGGAGTCTTGCAGACAGCACCATGCAGGTGGGCCGCTGAGAAGCAGGCAGGATGAAGACGGTATAGTCGGGGTCTGCGGGTCTAATTGACTTTTGGGAAGCTTTTGAGCAACTGAGACCCCGAGAGGTTGGAGCCTGTAGTCAAAGTGGGAAAGCCTTCTATCCACCTCCCCACGGGCCACAGTCTTCAAAGCCAGTGTCCCAGGCGGGTCCCCAGAACCTGGTAGAGGAGAAGTCTCTGAAAGGCAGAGGAGGGCGAGTCCAGAGAGAGGAGGCAGCCAGCCAGCAAGGTCAAGAGCAGGGCGGGGATTTGGCAGAGAAGGGGGCAGGATTAGCGGAGAAGACAGAATGAAAACATCAGGGAGACGGAAAATAAAATCCTCCTGCAGTTGTGGATGGACTTGAGCTAAACAAACAAGCAGGAGGACTCCATTAATCATTCCTAGTTAATGAGTTTTGTAAGGTTTATTCTCTGTAAGGTTTATTGCCGAGTTTAAAATGAAGAAACCAAGGCCTGCATGAGAACAATTAGACGCCAATTTATTCGGCTCCCGGGCGAGGTTCTATGGTCCAGGGAAACGGGGTCAGAGAAGTCGCGTCTGACTTCTCTCAGACGTGGGGTTATATAGGGAGGGAAGGCGCTCTGATTGGCTGTGGAGAGCAGGACGTGACGTGGCAAGCTGCTCTAGGTAGGTAGGCGGGATTTCCAGTGAGCGGGCTGAACGAGCCAATGTGCTATTGGGCAGGTTTTGGCGGGGCTTCTTTTAAATTTTGGCGGGGTTTTCCAACGGCTAGCTAGGTGCCTAGTGTAGAGTTTAGCGTGGAGTGCAGATCCTGGTGCTGAGTGCAGAGGGGATTTCCAACCGGGCTAGGTGCCGTGTGCAGAGTTTAGTGTTGAGTGCAGATCCTGGTGCTGAGTGCAGAGGGGATTTCCAACCGGGCTAGGTGCCGAGTGCAGAGCTTAGTGTCGAGTGCAGATCCTGGTGCTGAGTGCAGAGGGGATTTCCAACCGGGCTAGGTGCCGTGTGCAGAGTTTAGTGTGGAGTGCAGATCCTGGTGCTGAGTGCAGAGGGGATTTCCAACCGGGCTAGGTGCCGTGTGCAGAGCTTAGTGTCGAGTGCAGATCCTGGTGCTGAGTGCAGAGGGGATTTCCAACCGGGCTGGGTGCTGAGTGCAGAGTTTAGTGTGGAGTGCAGAGGTGGGCCTGGTGAAGCTAGATGCTGAGTGCAGATTCTGGTGATGTAATTTCAGGTGTGGAGAGGAATGGGCGTGTCCGAGCTCCCAGCGAGGCAACAGCCTTACAAGTTTGGCCTTCGGAGGCCCCAAGCAAATGGCTTTTATAGCTTCTTCCAGAGCTTTAAGTGAAAGAGAAAAACAAAAACAGAGGTTAATAAGTGACAAGGCATGACATCTTCACGGGCCCAAAATAGGCCACTTGGGCTTTGGAAAGGGCTCCCTGAGCAGATGGAGGAGGTCACTCATTAGATTTTCTCCCCAAGAGGTGGGGCCTGGTGGAGGACATGCATCTCTCAGGAGGCCCCATGCCAGTGGCACACATAGAGAATGTGGTGGGCCCTCACAGCCACTCCTCCTGCTTTGCAGAGCAAGGAACTCAAGGCTCAGAGCAGTTAGATGACCTGCCAGAGACAAGGGTGGAAACTGAACCTAAGTCACTGGACTCCTAGGTCCCGTGTCCCAGGGAACCAGGATGGGAATCTAGTGGCACTGGTTGGACTTCCTCCTTTGCATCTATTTGCTTTGTGAACTTGGGGAAATGGGGAAGGTTTTGCAGATGCCAGCAGTGTGCCTCACCCACCGCCAGCACTGTGACAGGATCAGAGCCTCCCCGCCACCTTGAGAGGTGTTCACTGGGTGCCAGACCTCAGGGCAGGCTTCTTCTGTGTGTGTGTGTTTGCGGTAATACACACATTTACCATCTTGACCAGGTTGAAGTGCACAGCTCAGTGGCGTTAGCACCCTCATATGTTGTGCAGCCGTCACCAACATCCATCTCCAGAACTTCTTCCTCTCCCTAAATGGAACCTCTGTCCCCATTTAACACTGACTCCCCAGTCTGCCCGTCTGCTGGCTCTGCGCCTGGCTTTTTGTACATGAGCTCCTTCAGCTGCAGTGTTGCAAAGCCTGGCTACTATAATGACCCTTCTTATAGACAAGGAAACTGAGGCTTAGAGAGACCAAGAACTTAGCCAAGGCTCCACATAGCTAGTTAAGGGCTTGACGCCCGGTCTGCCTGTCCCCAGAAACTGTCTCTTATCTGCTAGTTTGTCCCCATTGGCCTTCCGCTTGAATCCCCCAAAATAACTTCCTCCTGTCGGAAGTATGGAGACCTACAGCCAAAAGACAGAGGCCTCCTGCTGATGTCATTGCGTCCTGGCCAGGGGAGCAGGGGGCGTAACCCTGGCTCATCAGGGGTTCCTACCATTGGTGGGAGCAGTCTGTCTGGCCTAAGAGCCATCATACTGCTGTGTGTTTCTTGGTAAGACAGGGTAGAGAAGTCAGCCTGGACGCAGATGCCTATTGCCATCCATGCTACCCAAGAGGGACACGGTTTTTTGTTTGTTTTAAGATAGTCTTGCTCTGTCGCCCAGGCTGGAGTGCAGTGGTGTGATCTTGGCTCACTGCAACATCCACCCCCTGGGTTCAGGCGATTCTCCTGCCTCAGCCTCCCAAGTAGCTGGGCGCCACCACGCCTGGCTAATTTTTGTATTTTTAGTAGAGATGGGGTTTTGCCATGTTGGCCAGGCAGGTCTCAAGCTCCTGACCTCAGGTGAGCTGCCCACCTCGGCCTCCCAAAGTGCTAGGATTACAGGTATGAGCCACTGCCTCCAGCTGGGACACGGTTTTTTAACAAATTGCGAGAGGAGATGAGAGTTGGAAGCCACTCCTGCTGCACCCAGGGAGCTCACCCAGCCCGCTGACATGGGTTAACAGTTATCTTCCACTTGCAAATTTACTCTAATCATTTCAAATCTTTCTCAACATCCCTGCCAGTGGGCAAGATACTCCCATTTCACAAGAGGAAAGTGAGGCTTGGAAAAGCCAGTCACACAACTGTTGAGCGAGGGGGCGCTAAAGAGACTGGTAGAGAAGGATGGTGTTCTCCAGAAGGGCAGAGAACTGAGAAATGGGGGTTTGTGCTGGTCTCGGTCCTGATTCACAGTGACACTGGCCCTTCCTGTCTTTAATTTCCCCATCTCAAAAAAGGAAAGAACTTTTGTTTTTAACTCCTTTTGAAGCTTAGCGTTTGAGCTGCAAGTTTGCTGTAATTTAGTGGCTATTTAGGTTCAAAACCCCTTCAGCAGACACATCAGTCAGAGGTCAAAAAAGCAATCCCTTCTCTTGGGTCCCTCTCAAGATCCTCCTGCTCACCTTTTCCCTTCTTCCTGGAGGCAGTCTCATCTCTCCAGCCCCCTTCATCACACCCAAGGAATTTCTCCTTGTTTGTTCCTTCCCTGGCTTGTCCTGCGATGCGTCCCAAAGGAGGAAGGGGTTAGATTTGTCTGGTAGGAATGCTGGGGAAACGTCCTTCCCCAAAGCCTCATTCAGATGAAAGAACAGCTGGGTCCAGGTTGGATTAGCTCTTCAACTTTTGAAGGAATCAGATAGGCCTTGGAGGGTGTGTTGGCTGGCAGGGAAGTTTGGGTGTAGCCATCCAAATTTAAAGGCTGCTATGTGCTCTTTAACCCCCAAGCTTCTCTTCTGAGGCTGTGCTACAGGCACATGTGCACAGGGGCCTTCGCACAGGAGGAGAGGAAGAGTCGAGTCTGTAGACCCTCTGTTGGGCAATAGATCAATGGCAATGCCTACCCACAGGGTGGAGTTTTATCAGTTACAAAATGAGGCAGCTTTCTGTGTAATGATGTGGAATGACCCCCAAGATAAATGGTTAGGCACACAGATGGAAAGGTTTAGAAAGACTGAGAATCCCCCTGGAATGTTGCCTACAGAGGGACCTTTTCCAATCAGCTTCTTTACCTTTGGGAGCCCAGGGATGGGGTCCTGGAGTCCCAGGCAGCAGGTGATTACACACACAGCGTGTGCACATGTACAAAGTCCTCTCATGGGTCCATGATCCCCAAAGGGTTAAAAGCCACTGTGTGAATCTGACCTGAACTGCCTGCCATTCCACTGATAGGGAAACTGAGGCTCAGACTTCCCCTGAGCTGCCAAGCAAGCTGGTGCTAAGGTCCATCCATTCATCACATTTGCTGAGCAGCCAATGTGTCTGGCTGGGCTCAGCATTCAAGGCCCAAAAGTGAGTGTGATACCACCCTTATCTTTTAAGAGGGTGTAGATCAACGAGGGAGGTTGTCATAGCAACACATTCATGCCCCTGGATGTGCCAGAGCAGAGGGTCAGCACTGGCTTCAGAGGTGCAGTTGTTCTCAAGCTGAGCTTTGGACGGTGGGGAAAGGCATTCTGGCGGCAGAAACAGCCTAAGTGAGGATGCAGAGATGTGGAATATTTGGGGAGTTGGGTGTGGATAACCACACGTTGTAGCATCTGGCCCCAAGGAGTGGCAGGCAGGACTGCCCAGGCACAGCCAGAGAGGCCAGGCTCCCACACTTGGACTTGATCTCACAGGCCAGTTCTGGACACAAGGCTGGTCTCCTGTGCTCCTGCATTGCGTGTGCCTGGGGCCTTCCCTCCTTGCAGCAGGCAAGGGTGTCCTGAGCGTCGGCCGCTCACCAGCTCTCTCTTCCCCTCTTCAGTTTGTTGAAGTCGAAGGACAGATCACATCCTTGGTTGATCTTTACCCATCCTTCCTAAGGAAGGGTTATCGTCGGGAAATCTTCATCGCCTTCGTGTGTAGCATCAGCTACCTGCTGGGGCTGACGATGGTGACGGAGGTAGGTGGCTCTCTCACTTGTGTTTCGGGCTTGGTGCTCCAGTGCCCTCCTCAAGGCTACAGTGGAGGCAGCAGCTGAGTGAGAGGGCCAGGCAGGGGCTTCATCTCCCAGACCCACACAATTCTGGGGTCCCGCTTGGGCCAACACTGGGGGCAGCATGAGGAGTCTCAGGAGCCCACAGCTGACCCAAACTACCCAATTATTTTGTCTGTTGCCTTGGCAACACTGTGGCCACCCGCTGCCCTCTGTCCTGCTAGGCCTGGGAAGAGGGTCTTCAGCTGAAATCCGTTTTCACAACAGCTCTGTTCACTGTATGCCCTTCTCAGGCCTGGGGGGAGGTGGAGACATTCTCAGGGGTAAATTCAGGCCTCCCAGGAAATACCGCAGTACCCCGTAGAGGTGCACCACCTTCCAGGTCACCTGCCACAGGGCTGAGGCCTGGGGGTGTGGGTTGATGGGGGGGGGCTGCATACACTATTTAGAGGGTGGGCAGGGGCCAGGAGTATGGGTGATTTCAGATGCAGACAAGAGAAGCAAAGAGCAGAAGGGAACAGGAACATCTAAGACATGTCTAGCAAGAGACAAGCCAGAGATGAAGACGGTACTAGGAGTGGAAGCTCTCTCCTGCATGCCCCCACCTCCTGTTCCCCAGCATTGGGTCCCATTTAACAATTCTCTGAAAACCCAATTCAGGGCTTCACTTCACCATTTTTCGTTACCAGAAGGAAAAGTGTTTTTCTGGAGGTGTTTGTGAGAACCCCCACCCTGGAAGTCAGATTGCAGGGCCACTCAATGAGCAGCTGGTGTCCCTAGAGTCTTCTCTGTCAGCTGCACTTGGTGGGAAACATCTCCTTGGGAAGCAGCTTCCTGTGGATCTGTCATTTTGCTTTTATTTATCTGTGTATGTGTTTTTAATGACACTTGTCAAACATGAAGTTGAGCATCTTTTTATATACGTATCTGGTTATTATAGCCTTTGCCCATTTTTCTCTTGGGTTTTTTTATCTTACTGGTATGCCAGAGCTCTTTGTATATGAAAGAAATTAGAGACCAGGTAGGAAATCGACCTTCTGTGGTTTTTTTCTTCACAGGGTGGCATGTATGTGTTTCAGCTCTTTGACTACTATGCAGCTAGCGGTGTATGCCTTTTGTGGGTTGCATTCTTTGAATGTTTTGTTATTGCCTGGTTATATGGTGAGTACAGATGTTTTCCTGTCCTTTCTCAAGGCCCTCCTTTGGGCTTCTTTACTTAGAAGCTTCAGAAGCAGAGGAGACTAATGGGAATTCAATTTGAGTTGAGCAGTAGGCCCTCACTACCTAGACTACAGAAATAATCTCACTGTAGCCACACTGAAGAGCCTCCTGGTGCTAATGGTGCGAGGTGTGACTAAATGCTTTCACACACTTGGAACTTGGTTGTGCAGGCCCAGAATGGTCCCTTTTTACCTCCTTGAGGCCTTGGGTTTGGGTTCGGGCTGTGCCTAAGATTGTACACCTAGGGTTTGGGGTGTGCCTAAGATTGCCAGAAAAATGAAAGATGCAGAGTTACATTTGAATGTCATGTAAATGTCTGTTTCTGCTATACTTGGGTATCCATGGTGTGGAGACACAGAGGCCTGAATCAGGTCCCAGAGAACTCCCTCATGGCCCCTGAGCCCCTGCTGTGCTGATGCTGGCCTTGGACGCTGTGTCAGCACATGTCGCCCTCTGTCTCTTGCAGGTGGTGATAACCTTTATGATGGTATTGAGGACATGATTGGCTATCGGCCTGGGCCCTGGATGAAATACAGCTGGGCTGTGATCACTCCAGTTCTCTGTGTTGTAAGTTCCATTCCTGTGGCTCTGGCTGGTGGCCTCTTCTCCCCAGGGCTTGACATTTTCACCTGCTAAACCATCTTTCATGCCGCATTTCTTCAGTTTGGGCTTGTAATAAACCCAGCTTCAGCACTGCCTGGGCGAGGGGAGGAAGGCTGCTCCAGGGGGTTAGCTTGAGTTGAGTATTGAAGGGTGGGTAGGAGTTTGTCAGGAGAAGAAAACAGGAAGGGCATTCCTGGCAGAGGAGCCAGCCTGTGCAGAGCTAAGATATCCTGAAAGAGGAGGGTATATCTGGGGCATGTTGAGAAATCTGGGGATCCAGAATTAAAAGCACATCCTTTCCCCAAACCCTTCCAGAGCTCATTAGCTCAGTTTGGGTCACTGGGGAAGAAGAAGGGCCTTTGGGGTGTCTACTAGAGAGGTCATAGGCATTGGAAATGGGGTGTTTCCATGGAGAGGTGGAAGTAGTAGCTTAGAGAGGGGATGTCCTGGGTTCTCCCAAGGATAGGGAAGCTTTGGACTCATCCAAGCCCAAGGGTACTGGTGTGCCACGTTGTTCTTCCCATGAGGATGCTCTCGCCCACCATGTTGAAGTTGGCCTTGGCACCTGCCCGTGCCGTCTGCTTCATGGTCCCAGTGAATGGGAATTTCTCCATGGCAAAGCCATCAGGGTTTGCAATCAGTCGTGACCATTGGCGCTTGTTGCCAATGGGCGATAAGGCAGGGAGACAACATCCACCCTGCCTTCCTCACCTCCACTCTGGGGAGCACAAATGGCCCAATATTCCTTGGATTTAGGAACCAGGTGCTGAGGACAAATAGGCCCTCCCCTCCGTGACTTGCTGTCAGGCCAGACTAAGTCAATGTTACTGTTAACTCATGGTATGACATCGAGCAAGTCACTTCCCTCTGTGGGCCTCAGTTTCCCCACTTGGTATACCAGGAGACTGTGAAGTAGGCCCCCGATGGCAGCTCACAACCTTAGACTGTTACTGTTAATTAACATGCATGAGGCCTTTTCCTCCGAAGTGCAGATTTTCCCCCACAAAAATAAGTAACAGTCAGAGCCAATAACCACAAGAGTTGGCGGATTTGTCTTTGGAGATGAGTTTAGTTGGCCCACTCGTGTTCTCATCCTGGCTTATTGTTTGCTTGTGAGCAGCTCTTCTCACCACTCTGACCCTCAGTTTCCTTATCTCCCTCTCCAAGGAGCTGGAAACGTCAGAGACAGGCTGCGTTCCCAGGTGGTGAGATGAGGTCACCCTCATGGGGAGGAATAGGAAGCAGGCTGCAAACTCCTCCTGCTTGGGAGGGCCCAGGGCAGCATCTCTTGGGAATCACTCATCTGAGCCACAGCCCTACATATAGGGACAGGAACAACAGCAGGGCCAGGTGTGCAGCAGGTGCCCAGTAAAAGGTGCCTGCAGGCTAGTGCTCACCCTCGCCCCATCACCGACTCTGCTTTAGAAAGACGTGTCTTCCTGTCAAATCCCAGTTATGAGGTGTTGAAGAGTTAGGCCATTTTTCACATTGTGGACCAGTCCAAAGCCACCCCAGGTGCTCCTCAGAGATGCTGTCATTGTGGCTAGAAGCGGAAGCCCCAGGAGCCCCCAGCCAGCCCCCAGCCAACCTTTGCTACCTTTGGAGGTGCAGGGCTAACCCCACCCCACCACTCATGCATGCTGATGGCCACTGGCCATTAGCAGGGACCCAGGGCTGGCTGTGGACACTGAACAGGGCAAGGCCCAGTTGCCCAAGCCCCTGGGGACTGGGTCAAGGGTCACCCTGCTGCCTGCAGCTCAAAGATAGAGATGGAGGTGACTCAGAGACAGAGATGGAGGCGGCTCAGAGACAGAGATGGAGGGCAGCTCAGAGACAGAGATGGAGGGCGGCTCAGAGACAGAGATGGAGGGCGGCTCGGAGACAGAGATGGAGGGCGGCTCGGAGACGGAGATGGAGGGCGGCTCGGAGACGGAGATGGAGGGCGGCTCGGAGACGGAGATGGAGGGCGGCTCGGAGACGGAGATGGAGGCGGCTCGGAGACGGAGATGGAGGCGGCTCGGAGACGGAGATGGAGGCGGCTCAGAGACGGAGATGGAGGGCGGCTCAGAGACAGAGATGGAGGGCGGCTCGGAGACGGAGATGGAGGGCGGCTCGGAGACGGAGATGGAGGGCGGCTCGGAGACGGAGATGGAGGGCGGCTTGGAGATGGAGATGGAGGGCGGCTCAGAGATGGAGATGGAAGTGGCTCAGAGATAGAGATGGCGGGCGGCAGTGGGGGAAGAAAGGCTTTCATCTATGCTGCTAGCACTTATTGTGCTCCTGCTATATGTACCTGGAGCTGCACTGGGTGTTAAAGAAACGGGACAAGATGCACACGTTCCTACTGTCAGATTCACAGTCTGGCAGAACACGTGTGCCCAAGGGATGGTTACAGCCACTCGCTTTCTGGAAGGAGAGGTCTGCCTGGTGTCTAAGCAAGTAAGGCAGGCCCAGTGGAGAGAAGTTAGGATGAGAACAAGATGAGGGGAAATAGGGCCAGGCAGAGGAAACAGCCTGTGCCCAGGCCAGAGGCCAGTGGCGGAGGAGCTAGAAGGAATTCTTCAGGGTGGCTGGAGTGTGGGCGTGGAGGGAGAGCTGGGGCAAATGAGGGAGGAAGGGGCGCAGCTCCTGCTGACGCTGCCGGCCACACCAAGGAGTTTGGGCTGCATCTGCTGTCGCTGGGAGCCACAGAAGGGTTTTGAGTAGGGAAGTGGCTTACTCTGCACCCGGGGGGGAGATCCTTATGGCAGCAGAGAGGGTGTGATGCCTGAGCCAGTCCTTTCCCAAGGAGAGAGACCCTTCCCTCGGGTTGAGGCCTGTCCTCGTCCCAGAAGCCCCCACCCTCCAACGCTCAGGACCCCTCTCCTGACCGCCCCCATCTCTCCGCAGGGATGCTTCATCTTCTCTCTCGTCAAGTATGTACCCCTGACCTACAACAAAACATATGTGTACCCCAACTGGGCCATTGGGCTGGGCTGGAGCCTGGCCCTTTCCTCCATGCTCTGTGTTCCCTTGGTCATCATCATCCGCCTCTGTCAGACCGAGGGGCCATTTCTCGTGGTGAGTGCTTGGGCCTAGCGCCAGGGGAGGTGGGAGAAATGAGGCCAAAAGTGGCTGTTGTCGCTTTGCTACGTGACCTCAGGCAAGTCACCTGCCCTCTCTGAGCCAGTTCCCTCACTCACCCAGTGGATCAGCTTGTGGGCAGGAGAATGCACTGTGGGAAGATGGGAAGCAAGTGCAGTTCCATGGGAGAGGCTTTACGGAGACGGGAGCGGGGCTGTGGGCGAGGAGGAACTTGCCAGGTGGGAGAATGTGGGAGGGAAGGGTGTTCCTGGTGTTGGCAGAGTGGGCGTGGGCAGTGAGGCTGGAGAGGTGACTGTAGCTTTGGATGCCGAGCTAAGAGCTGGGGCTTTATCTTGGGACCAGTGGGGCCGTGTTCCTGAAACGGTGAAACGAACCCAGGAGCCTGGGGAGGAAGCCTAAGCCCCACCCAGATGCCTTCTCTGATTGTGGAGCCAAATTTAGGATCATCCCAGCCCCTGCTGGGGTCTTCTCCAGATCTGTGGCGGCAGCCAGACCTCTGCCCCTATGCCTGCCAGGGCCTCCCCTGGCCCCACCTACCTCCAGCCTCCTCTCAGAAATTCCTCCAACAGCTCTGGAGATCCCAGGCCCTGGCAAAGCCCTGGCTCTTTCCAAGAAATTCTTTTCTCAGAATCTCCCTTAACCTTTTGAGCTTGGGCTGGCTCCAAGAGTGCACTGTTTTGTTCTGGCCTGTTTTTATTGTTATTCTCTTTTAAAAATCTGGAGCCAGGATGTCCTGGGGTCCTGGCTCCCCCCATGGGCTGGGTCCTATTTCCTCCTGGGCAGGGGAATGGCCTGGAGATGGTGCTGGTGGTTGGGGAGGGGGGGAGACTGAGGAAGCCAGCAGGGGCAGGAAGAAATCCTTGAAAATGAGGAGGCCCCTGGGGTTTTCCTGGAGCTCTAGACCTGTTCTATTTTTTTCAAAGGATAGAGGGCAGGACACTGAATGGCCCTCTGAGCTGTTAACAGACTGAAATACTGGGCCTGGGGACAGACAGGGAACAGTGATTGTCCTGAGCCCTCCAGGTGCCCGTTCAATACTCCAGGCCAACCCAACCAGAATTTCCAGAATGTCCTTACTGTCTAGAAACCAGAGGCTTCCTTAGGGCACAGCAAGGGTCTCTAAGGTTCTGATTGGTCTAGGGGTCTCTGTTCCGATTGGTCAGTGCCCACAGCAATTACATACTTTTGGTTCAGGGGACACCCGACAGGTCACTAACTTAGTGTCCTTTAAAGCCTCATTTAAAAATATTCGTCCAGCCCACATTTAGAAGTTTGGGTGGAATGGGGTTGGCATGGGGGAAAGAGGTGGGGAATGGGTGAGGGCAGGCTCCACCCCACACTGGTACCCTGTCCTCATGTGCCAATCTGACTTCACCAAAGCCCCCTCTGAAGGCAGCTGAGCCACCATCCGTCTCTTTTCCCATGTGCCCCTCCGGGGCTCCCACCTGCACAAGTAATCAAGGTGTCCTCCCAGCCATGAGCTTCTCTCTGAGCCAGGTTCTGGCAAACCCAGACCTCTGTCCCAGGATGACTCCAGCTGTGCCTGACCCTCCTTTGTAGGCAGAGCCCCAGGTGGCTGCCTAGGGGTTTGACTGTCCTCCATCCTCCTATGCACAGCACATTGTGTGGACATGGAGAAGCAAAGTAAAAGAGGGAGAGCTGCCAGGTGGCTCAGGTGAGGAAAGCCACGAGGTAGGGCTGGGAGCAAACTGGAGAAGGTGCTGAAAGGAGGGAACCTGAGCGCACAGTTGCCAGATCTTGCAACTTTTTAAGAAAAGATGGAAAACTGGATTTAAAGGAAAAAAAAAGAGGACCTTGCTCCTTTGCCCAGGCTGGAGTGCAGTGGCACGATCCCACCCTCAAACTCCTGGGCTCAAGCGATCCTCTTGCCTCAGCCTCCTGAGTAGCTGGGACTATAGGCACGTACTACCGTGCCTATAGTCCCAGCTTTTATAAAAGCAGCTTTTAAATATTCGTAACATACCTAAGTTGAATGTAAATGCCTAGAAAGAGGGCTTTTTTTGTTGTTGTTCTTTCTGGCCTTTTTGAGTCTCTGAGTGAACACTTGGCAAGAGGTGGGCTGGGGGTTGGAATCTGAGCCCCAGTTCTGACATGAATTTTCTGGGTGTCCTCGGAGAGGACCCTCAACCAACTATGAGGACAAAACTCACCCTGCTCAGGAATAATCTAGAATTCCCATGCAGCTCCTCTTCCTTGGAAGGGCAGCTCAAATGCAAGAGAGGTTCTCCAAGGCCTTAAGACAGAAACCCTGCTGGGAGGACTGGATGCCTTCAGGGAAATAGGGAAGACCTGTCTCTGCAAAAAGGCAGGAAGTGTAGCTTATGGGAGGCTGAGGAGTGTGGAGCTTCTTCTTGGAGAAGGTAGAAGCCATGGAGGCTTAAGACAGTTGTCCAACTCAGGGCATACACAGGACAGGAACTAAGCTGCTGCTTTTCAAGGCAGAGAAGTCGGGGAGGGAATCACAGGGAGGCGTATTTCAGTTCCATAGAAGAATAAAGCACGTGGAGGTTGAGTCCCCAGTCCCTGTAGGAATGTAAGCAGGGGTTGTCCAAGGAAGGAAATTACCAACAGGAATTCTGCCTTGAGTCAGGGCCTAGCAGAACTTTAGGAGCACCTTAGTTCAATTCTTTCATTTCCAAAAAGGACAAAAACAGGAGATTCAGAGAAGGTGTGAGTTTGCCAAAGACCACACAGCACATCAGCCAGTTCAGGAGGAAGCAGATGGCCCCAGCGAAGGGGAGACCAGGCCACCTGACTTTTCCTCCCCACTCCTGTCTTCCTTCTTCCAGAGAGTCAAGTACCTGCTGACCCCAAGGGAACCCAACCGCTGGGCTGTGGAGCGCGAAGGAGCCACGCCCTACAGCTCTCGCACCGTCATGAACGGCACTCTCATGAAACCAACACACATCATTGTGGAGACCATGATGTGAGCTCTCTCGGGTCGACGGGGCCGGCCGCTTTCCTGCTGTTTACTAACATTAGATTCTCATAGGACCAGGTTTACAGAGCTTTATATTTGCACTAGGATTTTTTTTTTTTTGTAATTGTCACAGAAAATGTAATTGTGTGTGTGTATGTGTGGGGGTGTATGTGTGTGTATCGTGCGTGTGTGTATTTTGTTTTGATTTGGGGGATATTTTGTACAAAAAGAAAACCCACGGGAAAATGTCCGTGGAGAGGCAGAGCTTTCATACTGAATTAGATGTATTTTATGGGAATTTGGTAAATTTTTCTTTGTATTTTTTTTTACATATAAGTATATATACACTTAGAGATTGTGATATACTTTTACCACTTGAATCGATCTTCTTGCCAGCAATAGATCTCATTTTCAAAAGCAATTCTTCGGTGCTGTGTAGCTGGCAGAAAGTTCTGTCCAGCAAACGCAGGATGGCATTTTCCTGGGACTCCAGACCCATCTTAAGGTGGTGTACCTTCCAAATCCTGGTTCAGTTGGAAGAAATAGTAGGCCAGTGGATCCACTAGCTGGCAGACCCAGAGGGAAGGAGAAAGGAGGGTGGTGAGGAGATACCTTATGAATCTTGGCTTAGTGAAGAAGAAAGATGCCAAATGAATGAACCAACCCTTCACATAAAAGAGACTGGCTGAAGCTGAATGAGGAGGCCCTATAGCAGAGTCTTATTGTAAGAGCTGTAGAAACTTGCACCAGATGCAAAATCCCACTTTTAATTTTGAGATGGTGGGTGGATAGTCAATAGATGGTCAGAACCATTGGCCAGAGAGGGAGCAGCTAGAGATCCAAGAAGGCTGGCAGGAATGGGGCTGACAACTCATCCTCGCAAGAGGTGGCCAAGGCATGGGGGGCCACAGTCCTTCCTGGGGCACTGGAGGCAGAGAAGGACCAGAGGTCCTCCCAGCAGGAGCTGGGGTTTCAGGGCTCAGATGAGTCTGTTGCATTTGAATGGGGTCATAGCAGGTTCTGGTCATGCCCCAAGCAACATCTCAGCATCTCTTAAAGTTGCCTGCAGGAATGAAGCATGACACACCTGTGGAGGGATGAGGGGAGCGGTGGGGAGGTGAGTGGACCAAAGGATGTGGGCGCCAGGCAAGCAGATGGGCCCAGTGTAGGGGAGGCGTGCTTTCTTTCCTCATCTTCCCACCCTCAGCTCTGTGCTCACCTCCCAGAGCCTGGGAGACTCCTGCCAAGCCCTCATTCAAGATGCCACCCTGGGCTGCCCTGGCACCTAGCAGAGCACACCAAGAGCAGCTTTTGAGTCTGGATCCTCCACTGGGGGAAGTGCTCCCAGTTCAGAACAAGGGCAGCCTGTGGTGCTGACCTAGGCTATAGCAAAGCACATCACTTCAAAACCCCTGCAATAGCTGGTGTCAGACATTCACCACATGGGAACCCAAAAGAGAAGGCCAAGGAGAGTTTTCTAGAAGGTTGGGATTGTCAGGATCCTGGCCCCCACAGAACTGGCTTGACCAAGGGCCTTATGTAGAACAGAGGTTGTCTCTGAACCAGGAGAGAAGGTACTACACCTTTCAAACCCCGTGGGCAGACACACCCCACCCAGCCCCTATTTGGACCTAAACTGTGCCATTTGAACAGTCACTTCCAAGCTCAGTCTAAATGGAACCGAAGCATGATCACGCACAAAGGCAGTGACTGCCTCGAGGGGTGCAGACTGGAGAGTTTTCATAGCAGGGGTTCTTGGAACTCTGGAAACCCCCTTTTTAAATTCGGGAGGAGGAGTAAGCCTTTGATTCCCCCCTCCCAAGGGGCAATTCTGAACCCCGTCTTTGGCAAGCATACACATTTCACTGTTTCCAAAGCTATCTACTCTGCCAAACAACACCCAGTCCTATTCCAAACTCTCCCCATTCTAACCTGTTCTTATTTTTGTTACGTATTTATGGTTGCCGTGGCGTCTGATTTGATTTTACTGTTTTTCCCTGATTTTATGGAGTAGCATCGTGACCTATTTTCCTTTGTCTTGTATAATTTTAGTAAACTAACCACTGTCAATGACTGAGGGCAGGTGGCACGTGGGGAAGAGGGGGCTTGGCACGCAGTGGCTACCTGGGCATTTGTGGTCATTCATGCTCTGTCTCCACAGCAGGGGCTCCTCCCCGGGTGAAAGGCCACACTATTTTGGGTTGGTAGGCGAATTGTAACATTCTGGATATGGCCTGAGGAAGGCCTCTTCTTATGATTCCCAGACCAAATTCTAGACCAAAGACATATGCAGACCAAGTCCCCAGGCCCCGCCTGGAAGGAAGGCCGGCCACCTTCCCCAAGCCATTCCTCGACCCTCTCCCGAGGCACCTGTCTCCAATTGCAGCCCTCTCACCCAGCCCTGGCTCTGTGTGCAGAGCGTAGCTCTGCAAGTACCTGTGTAATAATGCTCAACCTTCATGTCTCCATATAAACGAAACTCCATGGGAGCTCGTGACTCTGGTCCACTTGTCTATAGAGAACGGGCAAAGTCCGTCACCTGCTTTCTGCTTGGGATGGGTCAGAAATGCTGGTGCCCACACATAGCCCAGCCAGCCAGATCTGGAAAGGAAGTGAGGGGGTTGTTTGAAGCAACTTTTTAAGATGAAGAAATGGGAGATGCTGTGTTGAGATGGACCATGCTAGGGCCACAGTGGAGATTCCTGACTGTCAGGGAGAGAAGGGCCTCCAGGGTTCCCTAACCCAATGTCCTTGTTGTAAATGAGGAAACTAAGGCCCAGGGAGGCACTGTGAGTCAGGAACGGAATTGGACTTTCTTGAAGCAGCTCTAGCGGCAGGTTCTCCGAGGTAGGTGCAGGGAATAGTGAGGGTAAGACCAGGGCTACATCGAGCAACATCTTCAAGGTCTTCCTGACAACCAAGGACAAGCCTTTATGAAAAAGGAAATGCCCTGCCCCCCATGTTCAGGGATGCGGGGAGCAGCAGCACCCACACTCCCACCATCCTCGCAGAATAACAGGGCCCATGCTGTGGCTTGGTGAGCTGGGTGACTCTGGCCTCAGGTAGAGGTGGCGAGCACTTGCACACTCCAGCCCTGCATGGGTGCGCCCTTCTTCCTCCCAGCAGCCCACGGCGAGATTGGAATTGAGATCCCTGTTTGTGCAAGAGGGAACTGAGATGCAGAGAAGCCAGAGGTGGGCCAGATCCTTAGGCAGGATTTAGATGAAGTCACCCTGGCTCCAGACTGACCCCAAGGCTCTGCGGGCAGTTCATAGGCAGCAGAAAGTGGCCTTGGATGCTCTCCTTCCAGGACAGCATAACCCCTTGGGCCATGTGCAGCTCCTTCACTGCCCCCAGGCCCCCAGCACGCCCCCAAAGACAGTGGGGAAGCATAAGGCGGGAGCAGAGCATGTCCCCCCAGCCCAGCTCAGGGCATTCTTGTATCACCCAGGTACCGTCACCCAGTGATCCCCTGCCCAGCCAGCATCTCCCAGCACAGCCCCTCTCCCTGGGGAAATGCTCTGGGCAGCTAATCTAAAGGCAGAGTCACCTTACTGCCCCCACCCCCTATACCCGAGACTCAGACACAAGCCAGGAAAGGACCCAGGAGAAAATCCTTCGAGGTGGCCTGAGGTCCCATCCATCCCTCAGACCCCTGTGGTCCCAGGCCAGGCTGTCTGTGTAGATGTGGTAAATACCTCTGTGTGCAAAGTTGAAGTACAAAACCACAAGACTAAACAAAACAAACCCAGAGAGCAAAGCTTGTAGAGGTGGGCAGTCCAGAAACCGGGGGCAGCCTCCTCCTTTCCTTCTCCCCCTGACCCTCAGAATATGTATTGTTTTAATAGGAAGCAGTTTTTCATTATTCTCTTGTGGATGTCACTACAGACATGTTCTGACGTGTTCTTTGAGGAATGGAGCATCCTGTTATATATTTGGCTTCAAATTGAGATGTTGGTTTCATTTTTTTTTTAACCCAATTAATCTTCCAATCCCTAGCAACTGTGACTCTGTATTTAGCACAAGAGAAAGCTGAGAACGTGGGTCTTTCCTCCTTCCAGAAATATGTCTGGCTCATCAGGACATTTTTTTAAAACTTCAAAATATTTTTAAGGTATTTTAAACTTTTATAAAAAAAAAAAAAAAATCAACCAACAAGAGACTCTTCTGAGGAGGAACATTTGTATTTGAACAAGATCCGTGGTGTGTAGTTCAGTCTTGCAGTATACAAGCATTTGTGTATAAATGTTTTATGATATGACTCCCTGTATTTTGCAGGGGTTTTTTTCTCTTTTGCTTTTTAGATAAATATGTATATCAATATTTTAAATTCATCTTTGCTTTTTTTAGAGGAGTTTGTAATCACCTTATAACATGAAAATAAACATTTCCTTTTTAAAATCCAACATGTGTGGGGGTTGTGTTCCGGTGAGGCATTGTCCCCCACCACGTTTGGCAAACGCTTTACGTTTTACAAAGGGCTTCCCATCCAATCCCAGGACGCTCCTCAAAGGTAGGTATTATCCCAGGTTAGAGGCTCCGACACGGAGGCTCACAGGAAGCGGCTTGCTCGCTCATGGGCACAAGGCTAGTCCATGAAAGATCCTGGATTCACACCCAGGCCCAAGAGCTCGTGGTCTGCTCTGACTGGCTCTACTGATTCTACCTGCTACGTGCTTGGCCCTGTATAGCTGGGAGATCTGGCAGCAGTCACCCGAGCCTCAGTCTCCCCATCTGGAATAAACCTTTGTCCCCATCAAGGCCACCAGGATGATTGGAGGGGATGCTCTTAGCCTTAGGCGCTCACCTGCTGCTGCTGTCAGTCCCTCCTTTTTAGCCTTGGGCTGCCCTCCTGGAAGTGCAGGAAGCTGAAGGGTGGCCGGGTGGGGGAAGGGTAGTGAGGAGCTAACCTGATTGTCCTTCTCCCACTCCCCCACCACCAGGTGCAGTCACTCATTAACATCCAGTTAGGGGCTCTCTGGCCTCAGAACTGGTCTGTGTTTGGGGCAGCCTTCCTGCTCACAGCCTCCCCCACCCTTTGGGTTGGACAAAATCGGGAATCAGTCAGGTCCGTTGCCCAACTAACCAGTCAAAATTCTCAGTAACTCATTTATAGACAACGTTGAATAGAACACCACTGTACTCCCATTTTCTGGCTCTTTCTGACAGCCTCTGCTTCCCTCCCTCCCTCTCTATGTGTCCTGGCCATGTGGCTTGTGTTCAAGCCCTGGTTCCATCCCTTGCTACCTATGTGGCTTTTGGCAAGTTACTCAAACTCTCTGTGCCTGTTTCCTCATCTGTCATGATGGGACAAGAATAGAGCCCACCTCCAAAGGCTGCTGGGAGGATCCAGCAAGTTCTTACCAAGCGCTCAGAGCAGTGCCTGCTACCTGTCTCGGCCTTTCCCTGCCTGCACTGCTCCCAAGGTAGGATACTCACTTCCTGGGAAGAAGCTCTTCCTCCGATCACAGAACTGTGCCCCCCCACCCCCCGCAGTGGGGCCTGACCCTGGCCTCTGGGTCCCAGGCCCCACAGCTCACCTGCCCTAGACACCCTCTGGACACTCCAGGGCAGCAAGCAGCTGGACCCCAGGCCGGCCTCCTGCCACTACCTTCCCACCCTGGGCTAAAGAGACTCCACACGCAGGCACCATTGTCTGCCTCTGGTCTTCCGCTGCACAGAGAATCAAATCCATTCCCCCTACCCATGCCTTCTAGACCACTCCCTGCTACCTCTAACCTAGTCTCCACCCCATTCCCCTCCCAGGCCTTCTCTTCCTTGAACCCGCCAAACTCATTCCTACCTCATGGCCTTTGCACAGTTGGCTGTGCCCGCTGCCTGGGACACTCTTCCTCTAGGTCTCCAGGGAGGCTGGCTCCTGCCTTCAGGTCTCATTGCAAATGTCGTCTCATGAGATAAACCCCTACTAACACTGCGCTAAAGCCCCTCAACCTGGCCCCTCTAGCCCATAGCTCCCTCTTGTTTGTTGTTGTTGCACGTTATGCCTGTTGAAATCATTCTTTATGTGCTTCCTTGTTCATTGTCTGCCTGCCACCAGAATGTGCAGACATGACCTAAATCTGCCTGATTCATGTCGTATGCCCAGAGGCGGGATGATGGAAGCAAACGGCAAACTTTTTGAATTAATGAATTCATCAAAAGCAGGCGAGATGTCACGAGACCCATACAGAAGCTGACTCTAAAAAAAAAGCAAACACCCTACTCTAGGTGAATTTAAATAACTTTATTTTAAAAAATAGCCCCCATAGCACTTACCCCCAAGCCACTGCAACCCCTGGTGGGACAAAGACCTAGACGAGGGCCCCAAACAGACCATAGGCGGCCTTTGCAATACAGCCCCTTGGCGTGTTGTGCTTCCCAAGAGTCCTAAGAAAACCCGATGTAGAAAAATACTTTACGAGGAATATGTGCTAATCTAAGCCAGAGAAAAATACAGCTTTGGGGGAGGAGGCAGGTAGAAGGGGACATGTCACAGGGGCTGTTCCCAAAATGCATAGGCAGGCAGGACGCTCGCTGGGGAAGGGTGTCAGGAAATGTCAAGTCTGGGATGACATCCCCATGAGAAGCCAGGAGAAATATTGCATATGAGGAGGCCGGCGTGGCTGGGAGGCCTGCCACGGGCCTGATTGCATACATTTGGGAGAATGGCAGAGGCCTCAGCCCGAGGAGGGAGACGGGGTATTGGTTAGAGTCGGGGTACATCTTCCCTCGCCTGGAGTCCTGGAGTCAATGCAGTTTTCCCAAGCCGAGAGGCCCTGAGAGTGTGTCCTGTTCAGCCCTGTTGCTTAGCAGAGGTCCAGAGAGGCTGAGCCACCTGTCCAAGGTCACACAGCTATGGCTGCTTGTGTCCAGAAGCCACACCTGTCCTGTGCCGTGCTTTCCCTCACCTGCAAAAGTGAGCGCTCTTGGCTTTCGCTTGGTGCCTTGTGACAGGCAGTACCCTTTCACCCTGGGCTGAGAACACAGGAATCCAAGATGGCAGAGGCACTGGGCACCCCAGGCATAGGCATGCCGAGCCCTCAGGGAGGGTGCCGAGGGGCAGGGCCCGGGGAAGTGGAGGGGAGGGGTGAGGGGGGCAGGCCCCCTGGAGACAGCGTGGGCAGGTCCCCAAGGAGGCCTTGGTGGGCTGGCAGAGATGGTTCTGGCCTTGACCAGGAGGCCTGTTTGTTCAAGACTGTCCACCCATGATCGTCCAGAGGGGCTGGGGGTCCAACACAGACTGGGTCACACAGCAAACAGATAACAGACCCAGGGTGAAAAGAACAGGCCTCTTGACTCCTCGTCTGTTCCCTCAAATGGAAAAGCACTTTTCTAGCCTCCAGGCACCCCCGGTTGCCTGGAGGTGGGAGTGGGTGCCCCGTTTTCCTGAGACGCCTGTAAGAGCTGGGCAGGCAAAGCACATCCCCAGCCCTGACTTCACCCCTACCCACTCCACTCCAGGCACCGCTTGCCAGACCACCGGGGAGGCCTGT